CTCTTCCTCTCCTCATGCTTCTCTATTTCTCAAGACACAACAGTATTGAAATTATGCCAAATAATAATCCTATAATGGCTTCTAAGTATTCAAGTGAGAGTGAGAATCACATACTTCCCCCTTTAATGCAAAAGCTAAAAATGATTAAGCTTAGTGAGAAACACATGTCTGGGAATGGAAGTATGCTTGGTGTGAGGGAGGTGGATGAATGCATTAACAAAAACAAAGAGTGAAAATTAAATTAAAGGCAGGTTGAACAAAAGGACAAATTAACATGAGAATCCTATATAATAAAAGACCAGGGACCATAAGTGTAACAACCAGAATGACTGCTGGACCAGTCATCATGAGGTGCATTGACCACCTCTCGGTCCCTCCCCTCCCCTACCTCCCTACCCCCTACCCCCACCTGCAGGTGAATGGGGAACCATAGCAAAGCAGGTGGCTGGTGATGGGGTGGGACTGGGGACTGGCAAGTGGGCAGAATGGCTGACCTCTTGGTCCCTCCCTCCCCCCAAGTGGGCACCAGCAATTTCACCTCCATGTGGGAAGTATGTGACTCTCACTTTCACTTGAATACTTAGAAGCCATTATAGGAATATTCTATCAAATATTCCATCTGATAGAATGTGCTGCCCACTCACGTGGGTGGTAGCTGCCACTACCGCCACCGCTGCTGCTGGCCCTGCCAGGGTTTGGGGTGCTGACAGAAACTGCAGAATGGCCTGCAACCTACCCACCCACCCTGGCGGCCGAGACTACGGAGACTACGATAGGATTGGGTTCTGGCGTACTGGCAAAAGAATGCCCTGATCACAGGCTAGGCCTAGGGACCCTAACTGCATTATTTCATACACTGGGCCTCTAGTAGGTTTATAAGAAAAATAGTACATAACTGACCCAACTTTAGTTTTGATAACTAAACAAAAATATCTCAAAGAAGAAAGAAACATGCTGGAAGAGTGGTGAATTAAAAGATAGGAAGGGAAGTGTGCTGTCCCTTTTATTCCCCTTCATCTGGGTCTTTCCTAGTTTGATTTCCCTCGGCTATAGACAAAAAGACTAATAGAGAAATCTGAGAAAACTACCAGGCTAAAATTTTGAAATTTAGGTGTTCCTTTACTGACAAATTAGTTGACAAGTTTTTTGTAAAGTTGGGTTAACAATTTTATTCAAGGACAGTTACTTATTGAAATATATTTTTATTACTATGCCAGAGACCTAGGATGATTCCCTTCCTATACAAGGAGAGAAATCCAGAATGTCCTATAAAACATACCACAAAATTTTTAATGGTAGATTTTTAAATCTTTCTGGGAAAATCTGTTAACTTTTTGAGCAAAATTTCTGCTTTGGCTCTATTTTTGAATCATTAAAAGACCATCAGCTTCCTTTCACTGGCAGTCCTCATTCTCCGTGGGAGTTTTAATTAAAGAAAAATGAAATAATCCCAGTAGCTATTGAACATCTTCACTGAGAACTTTAAGAAAACTTCCTGATACTCTACAGTTTTGAAAAAGGCAGCCAGTAACCACTGTTTTCTCCTCCTCCATTCTCCCAAATAAGAATTTTTGGTTTTCTTAAATTTCCTATTTCATTTTGAAAGTCTTTCATGAATGCAATGATTTCCTAAATGGGGATCCCACTCTCCAAGTGGTACACAAACAACCCAGTAGGATGCAAACTTAAATATAAACATATATTATAATCTAGAAAAGAAATTGAATCTTACTCTATTTAATATACAGGTTAACATGGGTCCCTCCCCTGCACAAGTTACCCTCCTGGCAGGGGTCGCTTATTACCCAGACTTAAACATGTGACTTGAAAAGAAAGCAGGAATTTCCCAGACAGGGGAGAGTTGACAGAGGCACCTGAAACATTTAAAACCTTTAAAAACATTTACTATACCATGTATTGCTGCCTCAACAAATCTCCACAAACTTAGATGCTAAAACAATGCAAATTTATAATCTTATAATTCTATTCTGTAAACAAGAAATCCTCCCTTGGTCTCACTAGGCCGATGGTTGGCAAACTGTAGTTCACGAGCCACACGCTGCTCTTTGGCCCCTTGAGTGTGGCTCTTTCACAAAATACCATGGCCTGGACGAGTCTATTTTGAAAAAGTGGCATTAGAAGAAGTTTAAGTTTAAAAAAATTGTCTCTCAAAAGAAATTTCGATCATTGTACTGTTAATATTTGGCTGTTGACTAATGAGTTTGCCAACCACTGCACTAGGCTAACATCAAGGTGCCAGCAGCTGAGTGCCATGCTGAGGTGGTAGAGAAGAATTTGTCTCCTTGCTCATTCCAGTCCCTTTGCAGATTACAATGCCTGTGGCTGTATGACTGAGGCCTCCATTTTCTTGCTGATTGTCAGCTGAGGGCCATTCCAGCTTCTAAAGCCATCCCGTTTCTTGGCTCATGACCATTTCTCCCCAACTCCAAAGCCAGCAACAATAAGGCAAGTCTCTCATAAATAGAGTCTCTCTGTCCTTCCCATTGGGTAATTCTGACCCACTGGTCAGCCTTACGTTCCCACTTTCAAGGACTCACGTGATTAGATTGGTCTCACCTGCATATTATATTCTAGGGTAACCTCCCCATTTTGCGACCCTTAACGTTAATCACATCTGCTAAGGTTACATACAGTTTTGCCACATAAGATAACGTATTCAAGGGTTCTGGAGATTAGGATCAAGGCACCTTAATCTTGGGGGCAACCACTATTTTGCCTACTAAATAATGAAATTGTTTTGTGTCATACCTGCACCATAAACAAACAAACAAACAAACAAATAAATAAATAAATAAATTCCTTTACCTGTATACATATCTTCAAAATGAAAGATTTGCCCCACTGTTAAATTATTAAAATATTCCATCTTTCAAATTCCTAAACAACTACTGACTAGCATTATAAAAGATTGAAATTTATTGGGAAAATTTCCATAGAATCTTGGTATGTTTGATAAATGAGGTTTAAATGGAGTAAAGGGTTTATTAAGTGCGCCAACCTGTATGTCTGCCATTTGAATCAACTAAGTATTCAGAGTTGTCAAAATGAAGTGAATCTTAAAACATGTTCACACAAATATCTGTACATGGATGTTTAAAACACCTTTATCTATAATTGTCAAAAACTTGGAAGCAGTCAAGATAGCCTAAAGTAGGTGAATGGATAAGTAAACTGTGGAACACCAGACAATGGAGTATTAGTCAGTTCTAAAAAGAAATAAGCTATCAAGCCATGAAAAGACATGGAGGAATGCTAAGTGTACATTACTAAGTGAAAGCCTATATAAAGGTTACATACTGTTTGATTCCATCTAAAATCATCCCTGAAAAGGCAAAACTAGGAAACAGTAAAAAGATCAATGGTTGCCAGAGGCTGGGAGTAGTGGAGGCACACAGAGCATTTGGGGAGAGTAGAAATACTTTGGAGACCATAACAATGAACCATGTCATTTTAAGTTTGTTCAAATCCACAGAATATACAACAGCAGAGCGAATCCTAATGTAAACTATGGGCTTTGGTGATTATGATCTGTCACGGTAGATTTATCAATTGTAATAAATGTACCATTCTGGTGGGGATGTTGATAATGCAGGAATCCACGCAGGGAAAATCTCTGCACCTTCCTCTTTATTTGCTGTGAACCTAAACTGCTCAAAAAGTCTTTATCTCATCTGGTAAAAGTGTGTATGATTTTTTAAAATTTATTTATATTGTTGAAAGTATTACAGATGTGCCCTTTGTATGTTTTTCCCCAATGGCCCCCTCCACCCCTCACCTGCCCCTCCCAGGCCTTCACCATACTATTTATTGTCTATGTCCATGAGCTATGCATATATGCATATAAGTTCCCCCATTAATCATTCTCCACCCCCTACCCCCCTGTTTTAAAAATGAACATTACTAATATAGCAGTAAGTTATATAACAAATAAAAATACTGACATAAATAAATCTTTTATAAATACAAATATACATATATATTTATAATACATGCTCCAAATTTTTACTTATAAGTGCAACCTATCACATTAAAAATCATTATACTAATAAGTTCATACTAAATATTTCATACCTAACATTTAATTGCTACACTAGTTAGAACCATCTAAAAATAGTTATCAATCAGATAACATGTAAATTAGATCTTGATTTGTCATTATTTATGTTGGCCACTGAAAAATATCTTAGAAAATGTTTACCAAGGATCACAGAATCTTTCCATTTGGGAAACATTCAGCAAATTAAAAAAAAAATACCACTTTTTAAATAGATAACAACTTTAAACATTGAACTTTAAAACTCACAGAGACATTTGAGATATTATTTATACTTCTTTGGAATGTAGGTATTTTATTTGCTAGTTATCTTAGCACATATCCCCTCATTTCTTGATGTGTAAACATTCAAATAAAATTTATGTGCACTAGTAACAGCTACTAAAACCTCTGGTTCTCTGGATTTTTTGTTTGTTTGTTTTTAAATGGCTTAAGTGTAATAAATATTTTTGGAACCACAAAAAATAGTCACAAGTAAAGTTGTACATATTGTTAGCAAATGGATAATGAATCACAAATAATGCTTATAGTTTTATTTTTCTTCAGTAGCATGTATTTTTCCTCCCAGTCATGCAATTTATTTATAGATTTTTGTTTGTTTGTGTTCGTATGCACGCACGTGTGTATGTGTGTGTGTGTGTGTGTCTAGTTGACAAAGTGTGTTACCTTTAAAAATATAAGTTAAGCCCTAGCTGGTATAGTTCTCTTAGGGTGGAGTGTCCTCTCCTAGATGGAAGGATCATGGGTTCAATTCCCTGTCAGGGTATATTGCCCAGGTTGCAGGTTTGATCCTCTGTCCAGGTACCTATGAGAGGTAATTCTCATTCTCTCCCCACACTGCCTCCCTCTCCCTTCCTCTTTCTCTAAAATCAATAAAAATATATCCTCAGGTGTGTAATATATATATATAATCCATTCCACTTACCAAACTATTCCCTGAGCCCCAGAGCCAATCGGCTTTAGATTCTGGTAGCGCTTGAGAACTGTGAAGGTTGAGTCTCCTACTTCCACGCTGTAGAACTGGTTGTCAACTTTGCTTTTGCTCATGTTGTAATGTTTGGCAATATATGACACATCCACTTGTTTATCAAATCCCTGGGGGGAAAAACAACAAAAACATGAGACAAGAGAATTATAACTCAACACCAAGAAGACAAGCAATCCACTTAAAAAATGGGCAAATGACCTGAATAGACACTCCTTCAAAAGGGATATACATGAGGCCAATAAACATATGAGAAAATGTTCAACATCACTAATCATCAAAGAAATGCAACTTAAAATCATAATGAGGTATCACCTCACACCTATTAGAATGGCTACTATCAATACTAGTAAATCAACTAATGACAAGTGTTGACAAGGATGCTGAGAAAAGAGAATCTTTGTGCACTGTTGGTAGGAATACAAAAAAATGGTATGGAGTTTCCTCAAAAGATTAAAAATGGAACTGCCTTTTGACCCAGTGATACCACTTTTGGAAATATATTCTAAGAATCCTGAAACACCAACTCAAAAGAATATATGCAGCCCTATGTTCATAGCAGTGTTATTTACAATAGCCAAAATCTGGAAACAGTCCAAGTGCTCATCAGCAAATGAGTGGATAAAATAGCTGTAGTACATTTACACAATGGAATACTACATGGCCATAAAAATAAAAATAAAAATAAAAGGAAATCTTACCTTCTATGACAGCATAAATGGACCTGGAGATCATTAGGCTAAGCAAAATAAGCCAGACAGAGCAAGATATATTCCATACCATCTCACTTATATGTGAACAAAATAAACTGACAAACAAAATAGATACAAAGGCATAGATACATAGAATAGACTAATAGCTGTCTGAGGGGAGGGAGGGGAGGAGAACTGGATGAAAGAAGGTGAAGAGATTAGCCAAAGAACTCATATGCCTGACACACATAGACAACAGTGTGGTGATGGCCAGAGGGAAGGAGTGCTGGGTGGAGGTGGGCAAGGCAGAGGAGATAGGAACATCTGTAATAGTCTCAACAATAAAAATAAAGGTTTGTTTAAAAAAAAAAAAAAAGAAGAAGAAGTGCAAATACTCCAACCCCACAACAACTGAATCAGTAATTCTTTGGGGGTGGGACCAACATTCTGTTTTATTAAATCCTCTAAGTACTCTGATGCATGTTGAGAGCCGCTCACTAGGGTTTTTCCCTGAAGATTGTAAAATAGATCACACAGCTCTGCCTTAGAAAGGAAAAAAACTGTCATTATGCAGCAGAAAAAAATATTTCTGCATTTGCCTCAGGGAACAGACTTTGTGTTATTGTGGTCTGCCAGGTTCCATTACTGCTGGCACACAAACTGGAAACCGGCGTCCTAGTTAGGACAAAGATTACCCCACACCTCATTGCTGTAATAGGATGGACCACTGTGTCCTAGCAATTATTCACACTCCTGAGAAGTCCCCTTGGTTTTTCCCACTGCATAGGTACAACAGGACTTCTCATTTAATAGAGAAACTATATATAGCCTTGGTGGCAGTTCCATTAAATTGTTAAAACAATCACAGATCTTATACCAGTAGCAAAACTTTTAACAACGAGAGACTTTCCAATCAAACAGACAGATAAAAGCTATTCAAATGAAATACTTAATACCCTAGCATATTTTCTACAATAACAATTACTTAGTGATCTTTTATTTCCACTTCAGAGCACATAATTTCTCAAAATAAGGTTGAAAATCATCATTACAGTAATTGTGAATTCACACAGACATTTAACTTTCAAGTATCCTCTTTATATTTAATTTTGAATTAAACTTCAAATAAAATCTAAAGGTTAGATTTTTTGAAAGTAATAATTCTCAAATAATTGAGAAAAGGCTATTTTAATTATTGGCGGTAAGACACAGGGATAACAGCATTAGAAATTTTCTTGGATGGCAATGTGTTGTGTTGAAGAACTTCCCCCAGATATCGTCTGTGCCCTAAGCTTACAAATCCAAATTGAGTTTTAAAAAGGATAGACCATATTTAACACAGTATATTTTATCCCCAATTTCCATGCAGTCTTGTTTGTCATGACTGTAAAGTTTAAACAAACTTTTCTCTAAGTGCCTATTAAAAAATACCATTTAGAGCACAATGGAAAAATATTGTCAATGCTAAAAAAATTTCTCCAGTTACATGTTTTAGAATATTCTTAGCTTAGGTCACATAACTTATTATTTAAACTGAGACAAACTAAAGAGAGCTGATGATTAGAAAGAGAAAAAAAAATTCATATTGAGAAGACCAATAGTTTAAGGAAATGAGCCCCACTAAAAAGTGTTGACTCAGTGGTACTATGGTAGCAGTAAGAATCTGTATTTCTAAAAAGCACCACACTTCCAGAACTTCTATTTTATCTTATTTAATTTTTATTTTTCAACTACAGTTTACATTCGAAATTACTTAGTATTAGTTTCAGGAGTATAGCATAGTAGCTAGACTATCATATACTTTATGAAGTGTTCCCCTGATATTTCTGATACCCACCTGGCGCCATGAAGAGTTATTACAACATAATTGATGATATGCTATAATTTACATCCTTATGACTATTTTGTAACTACTAATTTATACTTCTTAACCCCTTCACCTGTTTCACCCAGTCCCTAACCTGCTTCCACTCTGGTGACCATCAATCTCAGAACAACTATTTTAGGAAACAGGGAGGTAGGAGATGTCATCATTCAAAGAGGGCTATTTGGAGAGGCAAAAACTGGAAGCAATGCAGGTCAAATCAAGAAAACAAAGGATGCAAAACTTAAAAATGATGCCAGGATGACTCTCCTTGATATCAGCACCTATTCATCAGGCCCAGATGTCATATTCCCAGGGATGTGTTTTCCTATCTCATGGGTGCAATAGAGTGCTTACCCAATGTTCTCTAAATTAGCTCATGAAAATAAATATTCCATCATCTCTTTATAATCTTTATATTAAATTTATACTAAAATGCTTGGGAAGAATGTCTGAAATTCAAGATTTTCATAAATTCTCATCAAAATAGAAAATCTCTTTCCAGAGAAGAAATTAATGTTAATTGAGTTAATGACAGCCCAGGCCAGTGTGGCTTAGTTGATTGGGCATCATCCATGCACCAAGAGGTTACTGGTTCCATTCCCAGTCAAGGCACATGCCCTGGTTGCAAACTTGATCTCCAGTAGGAGGTGTGCGGGAGGCAGCTGATTGATGTTTCTCTCTCACATCAATGTTTCTCTGTCTCCCTTTCCCTCCTTCTCTCTCTAAATATATATTTTTAAAAGGAAGGAAGGAAGGAAGGAAGGAAGGAAGGAAGGAAGGAAGGAAGGAAGGAAGGAAGGGAGGGAGGGAGGGAGGGAGGGAGGGAGGGAGGGAGGGAGGGAGGGAGGGAGGGAACAGGAAAGGGAGGGAGGGAGGGAGGGAGGGAGGGAGGGAGGGAGGGAGGGAGGGAGGAGGAAGGGAGGGAGAGACGGAAGGGGGGAGAAAGAAAATTACAAAGGAAGAATATTATATATAAAAATTATAAATCAACAAAATGGTAAATCATTATGGTTCAAAATAACTACAGGTTTAGAATAGTCTATTCTATTGGTCAAATTATTTTTTTAAATAATTCCTCCACTGAATATTAATCTTGTATTTAAATCTCAACAATTATTTTTTTAATAAAAGATATTTTAATTTTTAATTACATTTATTTGAGTGACATTGGTTAATGTGAACATGTAAGTTTCAGGTCTGCGTTTCTATGTTACAACATCTGTATATTACACCATGTGCCCACCATCTAAAGTCAAGTATTTCAATAATTATTTCTATGTGAATATAATAGAATTTAATTGAATTTTCTTTTGCAAAAATTCAAGGCAAATTTTTCCTCATCTCCCATCTGCCAAAAATTTTAAAGCTAAATTAAAAGAAGGCTTTCTTGCCACTGGCCATTTGGTAGGCAGAGAAGAAATCTGTTCTAAATATAATCTGTTCTGTGAAAAGACTGCACTTTATGTAGGCTTGTAAGAAAGGGCCTTGTGCAATGATCTCCATCATCAGTTCAGTTGCTGGCCTAGAGGCATGAAGTTTGTAAAGAAAATTGCCCCATATGACTGATCTTATCCTGCAGGTGTCCAAAGCCTTGATTGCATTTTTCTCAAGTTGAATAACCTACATCCCACAAGCACTCCCTCCCCATTTTCATGTGTGCATGACTGTGCTATGTTACTGCTAGTTAATTTTTAAGCAGAATATATTGAGGTTTAAGAATTTTTAAAGGTTAAGCTTCCTTAGTTTCTTTTTAATGATATGCCTGGATCACTTCTGCACTTAATAACTCTTTAACCTTGAACAAGTCATTTTATTCTTTCATTAATTTATTATTTATATTATTTCTATTCCTTGTGGTTCTGAAAAAGGATTTGTGCCACTCACCATAGAAGATATAGGGACACTAAACCCAATGAGTCCAGTTTTAAAAACAAATGTCAAACAAAGCAGAGGCTGGGAGATGACAGTTTTACCCAAAGTCTTAAGTTATGGATATGTACTGCCTTAAGCACAAAAATTAGTGTCAAGCCCAAGGAAAAATAATGGCAACACAACAAAACCACAACGAGTGGCAAGTTTTAATTCATTGATCTCATAGAGTCATCACAGAAGTTTCTAGAAAAAGGTAAAATTTCTCTAGCACGTACCTACAGGAAGAGTATATTCACTAGTTCTTTCTATAATAAACCTGGAATCAAACAATGGGCAATAGATGCAATGCTTTTTAATCAAAGGATACAGAAATATGTTTCATATTGAAACCGTTGTAATAACCTGGTTATTATTTAACAGGAAAGGAGCAAAGGGAAGACTAGATAATACAGGAAGGCCATATATACAGCTTTGCCAAAAAGCTGCATTTAACATTCGTCAAGTCTATTCCCTGCTGATCAATGCGGGGAGGAGCTGGACAAACACTGTTCAGACTCAAGCCCAGGAAAGGACTTGGTGATGTGGAAAGGTGCCTTACCTGTCTGCCAGTCACACTGGGGAACAGGTCAGTGGCCAGGATAGGCATGGCCACTGAAGGTTCACAAAACCTGAATATTTA